TTCGTTAACCGAGGGACCACTGTGTATATATATATATATATATATATATATATATATATATATATATATACTGAACAAGGAAAAAACGCAAGTTCCCCAAGCTTCGTGTAATTCACATCTTCAGGGGTGAGGATGTTTTTTAACCCAGAAACATAGTCACCTCTTTGATCAGAGTGGGAAAAGATGAGTTCGTTTTCTCATTTCATGTTGACAAAAAACGTAACAATATTAACACAGACTGTAAGACTTCGGAGTTTCAGGTCGTCTTCCTCAGTGAATTCGACATTATCTTAACAGAAACACCCGAGTGCTACGCATCTCAGAGAACTTATTGTACACCTATTTGTCATCTCCAAACACTAGAGACATTCAAGAAATCTGTTCTATTAATACCCCAATTTTGTGATAAAAAATTTTGCTCTGAGAACTTTTACTAACTAAATATATATATCAGATCACAGTGGAATAACTCAAGTTACTGGAATAAGGACGTCCTGTCTTCGAGTTATATATTCCGGATAACCTGAAGAATCTCCAATCCAGCTTATCTCACCTAAAGATCAACCACCCTAACACTGCTTTGAGGGATGAGGTTTGGTATAGATTAGGTTAGGCTATTTTATTGCAAAGTCAACCTAATCCTATCCACCTATGTTATTTTGTATTACTTAAAGCGACGTAATATATATATATATATATATATATATATGGAACATTACGAAAAACAATATTGCAGAAAAACATACACTAATTAAAGGTGATGATGGCAGGTAATCTTACACGACACCTGTAATTAACTATTAATGCAAAAGGAAGTTATTAAAAAAGACCATCAAGATAGATAGATGGATAGTTATAAAGATAATATAATCGTCACATAAAAAGTCTAAGGAATAAAATAAGTTGCGTTTGTTTTTCCGACGAGCACAGTTGCTATATCGCATTTGTTAGGTTAAAATTATTTATTATTTTTTTTTAGATTGCCCCCAAGGGGGCTAGTTTATTGGGCACCCCCTTACAACCTGTGCAAGGTGAAGCGCAGAAGCGTTTACAGTGCCCATCTGGGAAGCATGCGGAGTTCATGCTTGCCTTCATGACTCACGTATTAAGGGGGTAAAAGCCTGAAGGGTCATGGGTTTTGTCAGCAAGTTACATAAAGTGACAGAATGATGAGTGTGCATGGAATTCCCGGTACAATTTATCTGTTTATGGCAAAGTGTGGCAGGTCCCTAATAATGTCAAGTGCCAGGCCTGCCACTAGGAGGAGGGATATCTGGTCAGGGAGGGAAGAGGTGTTGGTAACGGCTCGGGACCTGTAGGAGGTCATGGGGCAAGTGAGGTTGTAGTGAGAGAGGGTGTGAGAGTCGGTTGACCACAACGTTTACAAACAGTGCGGTCAGGCTCAGGGTTACAAACGTGTCCACTGCTTATCCTTGGTCCACTGTACACCAGACACCGGGGCGTCAAGTACCATGAGGTACTGTAGGGGAGAAATCCAGTACAAGGTTTCTCCCCTACAGTACAACACACAGCTGAGCCTTGTCTGTTGCTAGGAGACACTAGAATAAGTAACGTGTGTGATTGAGTCAACATTTTATTTTCCCTATAGAATGTTGTTCACCTCTCATGATATTTACAGATTTGTCTAGTTTTTATAAATACTGTTAACTAAGACTTATATTGGAAGTAAACCATCTTGTGAACATATTAAGCTAGTTGGCAACAAAGCTGACGGACTATGACGGTATCTTATCTCGCAATGTTTCGTATACTTATCCCACAAAAAACTAATATAACCTCAATGTCTTATTCATTATAAACCAACGAAATATAAAGCAAAATAACCATGGAAATGCCATCAAATATTAATAACCACCAAAAAATTACACTTGTGCAATTATTTACGCTACTAAAACACGAATTGAAGTGAAACAGAACGACACAGCACGGGAGCTTTTCTCTCGTGCCAAGTGGTTGTACAGGTAGGCATAAACACAACCACTCATTGAGAGTTGTGTCAAAGCAGGGCTGTCCGAATTTTCGACTCTTATTTATCGAACACGCTGATTGGTTCAAATCCGGTACTTCGTCTGTTAATCGGTAAATTGATGACGTAGTCGGTAAGCCGTGACGTCACTGCTCAGACTGTCGGTAAATTACCGACGATAAGAAATATGCTTTTTCATGGCTAACATAACATATAGAATACACAAAAATAAATTGTGGATGTATTTAAATACTTTACCTACATTTTACTAGCGATATTTTAGCAGAACTTAAGTAATACAAATTACAATTGATAAAATACAAATCTAATGTGATCTCATATAACACTCTGAATGGTGTTTATTGTTCAGAAATTTATAAAACTAATGACAGGAACAATGAAATTCACTGAGTATGAGGACTACTCTAATATAATTACTGTATCTGGGATCTTCGTTACCCCTCACCACACATTCTATTACAGAAAATCGTAATATTACGTCATGGACTCATGTTCTCGCAACCAATCACAACGCGAGCAGTTGAACCAATCAGCGTGTTCGGTAAACAACCCTGGGTGTGGCCAGTCCAAAGGGTCCACACTAACCCGGCCACTGGGGTCAGGCAAGCACACCAGGAGGAGGACATCGCACTGCATCATTATCAAATCCCACACCACTTCTTCACCATGGCTCAGCAAGTCAGTTATTTCTCACCTGGTCCTGCCAAAATCCCACACGAGGTAGTAAAAAAAAATTATGTTTTCTTAGCATCTTTGATTATGTTTTTTATTCGGTAAAATCGCCATACTAGTTCACATAAATTCAACATATACATAGACAACGCTGGTGTATAATCAATGTGCATAGTCAACATTTGAAAAAAAAATGGTAAATAGTGAGTGGATTCGACCAAGAACAGCCCATCAAAGTCATCACGTGGAAAAGTGCCTCATATCTATACCTTGAATGTCTTGACGTAGCCATGAATAGTCTACCATAGAGCTGAATATTTAACTTATCAGCCAGTCACAACACATCACTTACCAACCATCACCTCGAAGCAAACTGTCACTTGAACCATCCATTTATGGGCCCCTTGGTGTATCTGGTGAAACACTGGATATATCCTATACAGTATAATCAAAGCCGGTCCCGTTACGCATGAAGCACTCATTGGCTTATATTGTAAATAATAAAGATAAATCCTGCCGAATTGTCTAAACACAGTGTTTAGAGGTACAGGTTAAAAGATATAAAGAAATGAGCGTATATGGGCAAAGCGAGGTGAATATAATTTATCTATGAATCCGGCAACTTTATCGTCTACTTATGTCACGCGTCAGGCACTTGGTTATCAGGGATTTTTTTTGTCTCGATCGGAAGCGATAAGGAGTACCATGAGAGTGAAAGTTCCATGAATCACCTGAAGCTTAGACACACCAGTTTATTTCACCTGAAGCTTAGACACCCCAGTTTATTTCACCTGAAGCTTAGACACACCAGTTTATTTCACCTGAAGCTTAGACACCCCAGTTTATTTCACCTGAAGCTTAGACACACCAGTTTATTTCACCTGAAGCTTAGACACACCAGTTTATTTCACCTGAAGCTTAGACACCAGTTTATTTCACCTGAAGATTAGACACACCAGTTTATTTCACCTGAAGCTTAGACACCCCAGTTTATTTCACCTGAAGCTTAGACACCCCAGTTTATTTCACCTGAAGCTTAGACACCCCAGTTTATTTCACCTGAAGATTAGACACCCCAGTTTATTTTACGCTTCAAGTGAAATAATTTTTTGCAATCTTTAAGAAAAAATTAAGCAGGGGGCAAATCCAGGGGGGTCCTGGGAGTCCGGGCCCCCCTTTTCATCAGAAAATTCCAATACTGTTCCCTTAATGCAATATTGTACGTGGGCATTTTTGTATAAAAAGTAATTACTAGTGACCTCAGAATATCTCCTAATATCAAGTAAAAAAAAAATCAAACATTGTATCAAGGGGGGAAATGGCCGCCGGAGAGAAGCAAGACAAGCACGAGTCAGTCACGTGATGACACCACCGGCCTCTGTTTATTCCAGGACGAACAACAACAACAATCGGTTATAATATCCACGAGCAAACCACACACATGGCTCAGTAAAAACATATAAGTTTATTCTTGAGGTATTAATGCTAAAATATAATGCATTTAGAATCATACGTTAGGTTGAACTGTTGTGTTTTGATTCTGTGGTAAAGGAGTGCTGATGAGCTCTGACTACACTATGAAAAAAAAATACTGGTCCTACGCATGTCGCCACTTCGCCCGGCAACAGTTTTTTTAATCTTACCCGATTAATATTAGATTTACCTCAATATTATACATTTGAACATGAAATTATAAATTTGTTAAAATGGCGCTGAAAACCTTTTAAAAGAACGTAAAAACGCCATATTGGAACCATAAACTAAATCTTTATTGTAGATGAATTCGCCTGAAGCATTTTCTCTGGTTCAACTTGGCCAGTGTCTGGGACTGTGACCTTGGTGGGATGCTGTGAAAGATTATATTGGTTGGGTTTATCTCTACGAGCCCGGGGAGGTGGGGTGAGGGTGGAGCTAAGGATTATGGGAGTAATAGAATAGAAACGTTAGGTTAGGGTTGCCATATCTGAACATTAAAAAAAGAGGACGCTCCAGAGGACATCCCCCCCCCCCGACACACACTATGGCGCTATGTAACCTTGAAGCAGCCGTGACAACTAATTTTGCATATATCTCGGTGTACTGTATTGCATTGTTTTTAATGTAGGCTAATATACAACATTCATGGTAAAGAAATCTTAAAAATAATAAAAAAAATACCTTTGCTTAAGGCTGAATATCTTCATTCCCTTAGCTGCAGTCTTCCCCCACTGTGTGTGACTTGATGTGCCCATGCACATCAAGATTATGGTTGAAAATTACTAAAATGCCTTAAATGCAGGACAAGAAAAACAAATGCTAGTGAAAAAAAGCCATAAGAAAAATATGGTATACTTTCAACATTTCATTTATGGCTGTAATAGCACTAAATACAAAAAAAAAAAAAAATAATAATGCGCGTGCCTGAAGAACAAGGGAAAGCAGTACATGCTAGCCCAAAAATTGCTAGCAGCTAAGTTGACAACACCGTACAGGCGTACACGTGACTTATCAGCTGACGAAAAGTGAACGAGATCTCTGTGGTTTCCACCTTCCGTCTCTCACAGCCTCTCTCACTCGTCATTACAGTTTCATGTTTTTTTTTTCCGTGGAGAAAATGGTGGAAGCTGAAATTCCGGACTTTTAAAGAATTTTAAAAATTACTTCCGGACGAAGATTTCGAGACCCAAATGGAGGACATGTCCGGGAAAATACGGACGTATGGCAACCCTAACCGTTAGGTTCCATTAAAGAAGTTAGACAAGCTTGCACAACTTAAGCAAGTACTGTACCTAAAGTGTACGTAATGTGTGTATGTATGTTTTCCAGGTGTTGGGTCAGCTGCAGGAGGAGTTAGTTCATTATAAGGGCACTCCTGTCAGCGTCATGGAACTCTCCCATCGCTCCAAGGACTTCGGCAACATTATTGACGCCACCGAGAAAGTCGTTAGAGAGTTACTGTGAGTATTAAGTGACATGGGTAGGGAGGAACTTGGATGTTTAATTTGGTGGCAGATAATTATCGTGCCGAATTTGGAATTTGTTTTTCATTCCCAAATTGGAATGTTTTTCATGCCCATCTTGGAATATATTTTTTCATGCCCAACTTGGAAGTTTTTTCTTTTCGTCCCCAACTTGGAACTTTTCTCTTTTCGTGCCCAACTTGGAACATTTTTCTTTTCGTGTATAAATTGGATGTTTTTTTCATCCTGAACTTACCGATTTAAGGAGTTGTTGACTACATTTTCTACAGTATTTCTACAGTATTACTTGCCAAGATCAGGTCATTATTATTATTGTTCACTTTGCGCCCTACCTATTTTGCTTAGGTTAGGTAAGGTCAGGTCAAATCAGGTTATGATAGGTTAAGTAAGGTTAGGGTAGGTCGTGAGGTCAGTTTAGGTCAGGTTGATCAATTCAGGTTAAGTTAGATTGATATTGCTGTTCTTGCTCATGCTGTACCTGTAAAACTGTCTAATTAAACTTCAGAGGTGTACCAGACAACTATCGGGTGTTGCTGATGCATGGGGGAGGCACTGGACAGTTCGCCGCTGTACCTCTCAACCTTATGTCCAGGACTGGTAAGGCGGACTACATCGTCACAGGTGAGTGAGGGGGTGTCGGGATGAGGAAGGAATTGAAGGGAGAGGGGTGGCTGTGTCGATGTGAGGGGGTGGCTGTGTCGGTGTGAGGGGGTGGCTGTGTCTGGGTGAGGGATGGCTGTGTCGGTGTGAGGGGGTGGCTGTGTCTGGGTGAGGGAATGGCTGTGACGGTGTGAGGGGTGGCTGTGTCTGGGTGAGAATGGCTGTGACGGTGTGAGGGATGGCTGTGTGTGGGTGAGGGGGCTGTGGTGTGTGGCTGTGTCGGTGTGAGGGGCTGGCTGAGGGCTGGCTGTGTGGCTGTGTGTGGGTGAGGATGGCTGTGTCGGTGTGAGGGATGGCTGTGTCGGTGTGGGGATGGCTGTGTCGGTGTGGGGGATGTGGCTGTGTCGGTGTGAGGATGGCTGTGTCGGTGGGATGATGGCTGTGTCGGTGTGGAGGGGATGGCTGTGTGTGGGTGAGGGATGGCTGTGTCGGTGTGATGGCTGTGTCGGTGTGAGGATGGCTGTGTGTGTGGGTGAGGGGGTGGCTCTGTCGGTGTGTGGCTGTGTGTGGGTGTGGCTCTGTCGGTGTGAGGGGTGTGTGTGTGTGGGTGAGGGATGGCTGTGTCGGTGTGAGGGGGTGGCTGTGTGTGGGTGAGGGATGGCTGTGGTGTGAAGGGATGGCTGTGTGTGGGTGAGGGATGGCTGTGTCGGTGTGAGGGATGGCTGTGTCGGTGTGAGGGGATGGCTGTGTGGGGTGAGGGGTGGCTGTGTGGATGTGAGGGATGGCTGTGTGTGTGGGTGAGGGATGGCTGTGTCGGTGTGGGGATGGATGTGTGGTGAGGAGGGGTGGCTTCTCGGTGTGAGGGTGGCTGTGTGTGGGTGAGGATGGCTGTGTCGGTGTGGGGGATGGCTGTGTGTGTGGGTGGGGGGGTGGCTGTGTCGTGTGTGAGGGATGGCTGTGTGTGTGGTGGCTGTGTCGGTGTGAGGGATGGCTGTGTGTGGGTGGGGGGTGGCTGTGTGGGTGTGAGGGGATGGCTGTGTCGGTGTGGGGGATGGCTGTGTGGGTGGAGGGTGGTGCTGGTGGGGGTGGCTGTGTGTGGTGTGAGGGGATGGCTGTGTGGGTGTGGGTCTGTGTGTGGAGGGGTGGCTGTGTGTGGGTGAGGGGATGGCTGTGTCGGTGTGAGGGGTGGCTGTGTGTGGTGAGGGATGGCTGTGTCGGTGTGGTGGCTGTGTGTGGGTGAGGGGATGGCTGTGTCTGGGTGAGGGGATGGCTGTGTCGGTGTGAGGGGATGGCTGTGTGTAGGTGAGGGGATGGCTGTGTCAGTGTGAGGGGGTTGGTGTCCGGGTGAGGGGGGGGGTGTGTCGGAGCTTCTTATTGTTTGTTATAATGATGACACCGATTTTCGATTTTCTATACAATAGACATTTCAATAATGTTAAGTTTGTTTTCAATATCACGACTACTAAAAAATAGTACTGCATAAGAGTCCCGTCCCTCACTTCTTGTCTCACCCAGGGTCGTGGTCATCAAAGGCAGCGCAGGAGGCAGCCAAGTACGGTACCGTGAACTGTGTGTTGCCTAAGAGTGAGCGTTACACCGGCGTCCCTGACAGATCCTGCTGGAAGTTGGACCCAGAAGCCTCTTATGTCTACTACTGTGACAACGAGACAGTCGAAGGTTTGTCAACACGGAGTCTTGTTTGGTTAGGTTAGGTTTATTTCATTATTTCCGTAGAAGAATTATCTGAAGTTTAGTTAAGTTATATCACATTTAGTTTAACGACCAAAAATGGTATCCTATCCTAACCCCCAGGTAGCGTGTGGGCGTTTTATCAGGTGGGTAATATTCAGGTGATATAAGTACAGTACAGTCCAAACAAAGATTGGAAATACACTTTGTATAATCAGGACATTGCAATTTAGAATTAGGACTTTGCAATCTAATCAGAAAGACGTTATTTTGTACTGAGTTAAACAGACATTACCATAATTGAATCGTTACTGTAAAAATATAACGAATAAACTATGTATAGATTTAGACACTTGAGAACGATCAGATGCATAATTCATTAGCGGTAAATCCTGTTAATATTGGCAGGTGTGGAGTTCCAGAGTGTACCTGACGTCCCAGAAGGTGTGCCGCTAGTCTGTGATGTGTCCTCCAACTATTTCACCAGACCTATCGACGTGTCTAAGGTTGGCTATGTTTGCTGTAGGTCACTGATAGGTAGTACTAGAAAATTGTGAATAAAAGGATAGCATGCTGACTAAACTGGGAGGAGTTTGAACCTTCTCGATTTTATAATTTTATCATATTTCAGTTTGGCCTTCTATACGGAGGAGCTCAGAAAAATATTGGGTGTGCAGGTGTGACCCTGGTGATCGTGAGGGAAGACCTGATAACTAACCCTCTGCCAGTGTGTCCCACTGTTCTTGATTATACCGTTATGGCCAAGAATAAGTCGCTGTACAACACGCCGCCAACATTTCCGTAAGTTATCCCTCTAAATACTTTTTCCAATGGTTCAGTGTCGTAGGAGTATCTTCGTTAAAGTTGGTTTAATTAATTTATTCGGAGGACACGTATAATATACTTGTATATCGCGTGTCTTCCTAGTCGATTGTGTGCACTATAAAAAAATATATATATATATATATATATATATATATATATATATATATATATATATATATATATATATATATATATATATATATATATATATATATATATATATATATATATATATATATATATATTGAACTTGATAAAACACATCTATACCGTATATATACAGTAGTGTGATATTCGAAGAGCATTTTTCCCCACATGAATTTCCAGTCCATGTGAACTGTACAGTATATACTCTTTTATATAATCTAATATTTCCCATCACAAGATTTATCAATCTGATTTACTTATCAAGGAAAAACAGTTACATCAAGACATTAAAGTAAATTCTTTATTTTGTTCGATCTTCTCAACGAGAATAAATATGGTTTGTTTTCCTATATTTAAATTTATTTACGTCAATCGATCTCTCTGACCTCAAAGAAAGATTAATCTTAAAATATGTTTTAAACCTTTCTTTATCGTTTTCAGGATTCACGTAATGGGGGAGGTGTTGGCCTGGGTTAAGAAAGAAGGAGGTGTGAAGGAGATGGAGCGGAGATCTGTAGAGAAGAGTCGGATGATCTACTCCATAGTGGACGAGTCTAATGGGTTCTACAGCAGTGTGGTCACCCCCAGCAGTAGGTGAGTCACTACTCGTATAATTTTCTGTAACATCTCTATGACCTGTGATCGTTATCTTCACTGTACAGGATAAGGTGACATGTTGTAGATGCTGACTGGAAGATTATTCACGGATCACCTGACGATTAGCTCTCCAGCTTAATTAACCCTGATGTTAACCTGATATCCCCCCAGCGTCATAAACTAAAGTATTTATTGGTCCTTAATGTGGCAAATGGCCTAGACAGGTTTTTTGGTGATTTATAATACTAAAAGTCCGGGAGAATGATCTACTAAGAGTCCGCACCTCTCTGATGACGGTTAAGTCTCAAAAACTGGGGCATTTTCAAGATATCCGCCAGTTGATGATGATGATATTGAGGTAGCCAAGGCAGCCTTAAATTATTCAGCAACTTTGGTCGTGGGGACACCATTACATAAAGTAAATGTCAAGAGCAAAGTTTGACATCAGTCTCTTTAAATAACTGATGTCAAACTTTGCTCTTCAGATTCTAAAGGATAACGTTGGCGCCGAACTTACATACAGTATTATGACTGGTTGTGATACCACGCCAATGACTTATGGAATAGGTAACAAGTCAGCTTTCCAGGAACTTGTTAAGACTTCTCCCTTCAGAGTTGTGCTGAAATCTTCTGCTCACCTGGAAGGGCCAGCAGTACCAAGGGTATTTGATCTTAAAAACAGTTTGATAATTTTTGTGTAACGACATCAAAATGTTTACATCTGACGTCAAATGACATCATGAGGTAATGCATGATCATAATCTTCAAAAAAAAATTTGGTGGGCGAAATTTTTTCATCTGCTGGCAATTTCTACAGCCTAAAGGCGGTAGCACACGGGGCACTTTCCCCCAAATGTGTTTGGCAACCACGGTCAGGCCAGCAAAACAGACGTTTTCCGTCACATGGGATGTTTTGTTGGCGCGTCTGCAGAAAGCAAAGTTTCTAGACGAGGTTTGCCTTGGATCCCGTCACTACAGTTGAGGTCTTGCAGGATTGTGCTAGAGTTTAATTGCTGAAGCATGTGAGGCGTCTGCAAAAGCTAAAGAAAAGACAATGGGTGTGTCTTGAAGTTTGTTTAAAAGCGGCGGCGGCTGGCTGGTCAGAAAAGACCCTGAATAATGTCATAATACTAAAGTTTTAAATTGATGAATAAATGGAAATATGTCACCGTTTGTGTTATATTTTAAAATTTTTGTTTCACCTACAGTGATTTACTTGTGTGTGTGTGTGTGTATATATATATATATATATATATATATATATATATATATATATATATATATATATATATATATATATATATATATATATATATATATATATATATATATATATATATATTGTGCATGACTAATAATATTAATTATTAATATATTTTTTATGGTAACTAATATTTACATGTATCATGTTAGATGAAATATTATAATACTGTACAGTACATCAGTAACCAAGACACAACTTGAATGTTTGGTTTTGTGTTTGTTTATTTCAGTAAAGATAAACAATAAGAATGTCTTTTAATAGCCAAAAACTCTATTGAAAACTCGGTCATTTATTCCCCAAATTCATGTCACGGCTTGACAGGTGATTCACCACTTGCAGTAATTGTGTGATAATTGTGCAAGAGAAAAGATTTTCTTTTAATTTCTGATCTCCTCTAAGATCTTGAGGCAATGGAGTCAGTGAAAACTATACAGTAGTGTTTTCATTCTCTCGTTATATGTATACTTACATGCATACATAAATGAAGATTGATATGTCTAAAAATAAATAGAAACGGTAAAAAAAATATCGCTCGTAACGTGACAACATCTACGACGTCACTAATCGCTTTAGAACGCAGCCAATAGATGGCGCTATTATTGAGGTATCTGGCGACTATACCATACACACATTTCGTATAGTTTAGTGGGAGCTTTCCTATCTTGAATAGAGTATCTTTGGACAAGACCTATACCCTTCAAAAAGACTTTAAAATTCTCTACACTACTTTAACAAAACATTTTATATTATTTCTTAACACTGTAAGTGCATTTGAATATAACCATAACCAGATTGGAATACTTCTAGTAGATTCTTTCTGCATTAAATTATAACGGTAATATGTGATTGATTCCTGTTTAATAGATTGTCTTAATTGTAAACCATTTAAGTTTGACGTGTGTGTGTGATTCGTGTCTTAATTTAGATTTTTTTATTAATTTTCACATGCTTTCTGCAGGTCTCGGGTGAATGTAGTGTTCCGCGTGGGTGAAGACGGCGGGAACGAGGAGCTGGAGACGAAATTTGTGGACCAAGCGACACAGTGTGGCCTTCTCTCTCTCAAAGGTCACAGGTGTGTAGTGTATTATTTACTTTACTTACTTATTAATTACCTTTACGGACTCGTATACTTATTTTATTTATTTAATTTCTTTACTTTTCCTCTTTGCCACTTGCCAGTCAGTTATTCATTTCTGTTACTGATGATAAGTACTGTGGCCATATACTGTACGGGCTCTTGAACATCCCTGAAGATGTTCCAGTGTTAGTCAAATCTGGTTTTAAATGTCATTAGCCTTACTGCAGATAGTCTTAAATTACTTTACTATCGGCATATTTAACTATTTATGCAACTAAACTTTCCTATTACCGTGCATTTTAATTATTTATCCAACTTATCCTATTTCTGTCCAATTTAACTATTTATCCAACTTAACTTTCCTATTATCGTCATATTCATCTATCTATCTCTCTATCCTTAACATTCGTCAGGTGGATTAATTGGATAATATTTCGGCTCTTCTTCCCTGGCAGATCGGTTGGAGGAATACGAGCTTCTCTCTACAACGCCATTACTGTTGATGATGTCCACCGCTTGGCTGAATTCATGAAGAAATTCCTACAAGAAAACAAAGTCTAATTGCATTAACATTTTTCTTACATTCAAAGGTTAATTTGTTTATTTGTCTTAGTTTTGTTTGTTGTATTTGTTATTATTGATATATAAATTGTTGATTTTTATGTTTTTGTTTTGTTTTGACCTGTGCGTGTATATGGGGGGGGGGCAGAGGAACAGAGGGGGAGGAACTAACGAAGAGGAGGAAGAAGGAAGTGGAGGAGGAAAGACGTATGGGATAAGTAGAAGAGAGGAGAAAGGAAGGAAGGAATAAGAGGATGAGGAAGTGCTAAGAGTAATAAAGGTAAGCTTGTGCCCCCCCCCCCCTTCCCTACAAAAAATAAACCAAACGCATAACTAAATAATCTTGTATTACTAAACAATTCCTCAAAAAGTCACAACAGATTCATCAACAAAATAAAGGTAGAAAAAACGGTTACATATGGCTCGAGTTTATTAAAAATGGAAACTTTCAAATATTTACTGGGGAAGGAACCGTCCATAATAGACTATTGAGAAGCTGGTCATGTAATTTTTTCTATTAGATCAGAAACAAACCCACTATTGACAGACTGGTAAAGATTTGGGTAGTATTCAATGTTAGTTACAATTATTTTAACGGTCAAATGTGTAGTTTTTAAGTTAACGGGGGCAATTATGAACGGTGCCGGGAAGAAGGTGGTGGCACTAGTTGGTATAGCAGTTAGACCTTTGTGGCACTCTCTTGAACTTGGCGGCGTTAACCTTAAGCTGCCGTAGTTTGGTCCGGCACCTCATCACTACTTTGACATTTGGACGAACAGTACGTGACATGACCCAGGCCCACTCTGCCCTCAGCCCAGGGAACTGAGAGCAAGAGTAGAGGCAGGCCACGCTGGTGTAGTCGGTGTACACTACCCATACCCTCAACGGTGGCACTGTGAGGAAGACATGAGGGAAGAGCCATTTAGTGCCATACATCAAGGTAAGTGTACGTATATTGTTTGTATAACCTGCACTCTTTATATACACGCTGAATAAATGAGTATGATGATTTTAGTGAATATCCATCTGTCTTTATATCAAAATTATCCATCAATGTATATATTTAATCTATATATATCTATCTAATCTCCCCCTTCACCAACAACACATTAGACGCCTTACTTCCGTCCATGTCTAACTGAAGTGCTCCTGAAGGCGAGTCTGGCATCTGGCCGAGGACCCCAGATCTGGTCACACCCACGTCACTAGCATTACGCCCTTCAGTCTTCACCTCGAGGTAGCCATCTGCGGGAGACACAGCTTCGTCAGGTGGTGATTCACATGTAAGTGATTTAATTCTTAAGTTGCCGGGATGTTGACTTTAAATAAATGAAAAACACGATTTATTGATGTAAATAATGATAATGGTGATAATAATAATCATGATGATAATAATATAAGCTTCAGAGGATTAAAATTACACACACACACACACACACACACCGAGCGTCCCAGGTGTTGTAACAGGAGGACTTAACTTACCTGTGTAGGTGTAGGCGGAGCGAGTACAGGTAACAAACGGCTCCTCATTAGTGGGGAAGCGAATGATGTGATACCACTGACCCTCCAGCTGAAACACAACCCGTATTAATTTAATGTTTACTTTATCACTAGCGTCAGCAACACAACCCGTATTTAATGTTTACTTTTATCTACAACACAGAAGGAGAGGTAATGATGGAGGGAAAAGGGGGAGGAATCAATAAGAAAATGTGATAAAGATGGAATTGAGAAACTACGTCAATAATAAAGTATCTTAAAAGGAATAATAAGCGACACCATAGCCTAAACTCCTGTGATTGGCTGAGTAGTAACGTAAAACATTCAAATAACTTTCACTTTCTCTCCATTAAGATCTATATTAGTTACAAATAATAGTTTGGATTTTGTTGAGTTGGTTTATTTAATAATTTATATAACTGCTTAAGGACCTATATTGAAGTGCAGTAATACATCATAACATCAAGAAAGACTTAGTTATCATTTGTGTTATTACTGAAGCTGTGGCAATGTCTTGACGTGGCAAACTCCTGCTAAATTTCTTTCCAATTATTTAGTGTGACTGAGCAATGGCAGCTGCAATGGACAATATCTAATTTTTAAAATGAATACATCACGAACTTGGATATAGTATGAACAGTATATTTTGTGGGTGATAAGAACAACCACAATATTATTTAATTTTGGGGTTGAAATTCGTCACATTTTTCTAGTATATCCGCTAAACTAAAACTCGGTCTTAGGTAAAATCTCAAATTAACACACAAATCTTTCGTATCTTTAAGCAAATTTCATATTTTTTTGTTTGTAACTTAGTTGTGTAATGAGTAATGATATATCACATGTTATCATTCTGTCTACAATCTTAGAATCATCACCGATATTTTTTTTCTAGTCGGTACCTAACCCCCCCTCTTCCCCTCCTCCTTCCCCATCTCCCCCTCCCCCTCCTCCTTCCCCATCTCCCCCTCCCCCTTCCCCCTCTTCCCCTCCTCCTTTCCCCCTCCAGGCCCTCCTCGACCCTCTCTCCCTCGGCAGTTGAGACTCTCTTACCTTTTGTTGGTCCAAGTTTGGCTGTGTGGTAACGTTCGGACAGGCGCCCACCTCCAGGAGCGTTGAAGTCTCCGCTAAGCTCACCGTCGCCACCCCCAGCACCGCCACCACCAGTACCACTACGGCCGCTGCTACACCCATCTGATGTAAAGACTTTGAGTTATTAACATTACCTGTATTGTTCTACCTGTTTGATGTCTGTCTGTATTATAATGTGTGTTTGCGTGTGTGTGTTAGTGGTTTGTTGTGTTTATGATGTATGAAATTAGTTACATAATCGTGAAAGAATGTTTTTTTGTTTGTTTTTACCTGTGTGTATCTGTGTGAGTGTGTGTGAAATCATCAATCAAGGTGCACTCTTAACTAAAGGTACGTACATTGTAGATACGTGCAATCATAGTTAACACACTTGATATAAACTCCAACTATTATATATTATGTGTAAGTTAACACCGTCCGTCCGTCTGTCTGTCTGTTCGTGATTTACACCTGAACCAAGACCTGCGCCGTGACACGTACACTAAAAGCAAAAGTACGTGAATTCAGGTAAAAAAAAAAAGTGAAAATAAAACTTTCTACATCGGTGAAACTTTTCCCTTTCACCAACACCCAATTACGTATACACCTATAAGTAGTAATTAGTCGGTCCTCACCTTGATACATGTTAATGGTGGTATTTTAGGGGTGATTGACAGATGTGTGTTCCCCTCAACAACAACCCCCCACCACGACCCCCTCAACACCCCTCAACACCTCCCCCACCACGACCCCTCAACACCTCCCACACGACCCCCTCAACACCTCCCCCACTACGACCCTTCAACACCTTCCCCCCACTACGACCCCTCCACCTCCTCCCACCACCCCCTCAACACCTCCCCACGACCCCTCAACACCTCCCCCGACCCCTCAACACCTCCTGACCGACCCCCCTCAAACACATCCCCCCCTACCCCCCTCAAACATCCCCCGACCCCCTCAACACCTCCCCTCAACCACGACCCCCTCAACCACGAAGGTAATGAATAACTCCCAGAACAAAACACACGAAAGATCTCGGGAGTTTTAGCAAGTTCACGAACCTCTCCCACGCGATCACTAGTGAGGTCATGAAGGTGTAACAGTGATGAAACTGGTTGAGAAATCAGGTTATGTGGCTTTGGAAATGAGTTTAAGAGTTGGAATTAGTTCAGTGTGGGTTTGTGCGTGGGTTTGTGGGCGTGTGGGTTTGTTTTGTGTGTGTTTCAATAAATCCAAAAGTATAGAGAATTCGGTGGCATATTGTACACAGTCAGGATTAATATCACAGTTTGTTTTGATTCCACACAGTTAGATTTGAGTCCATATACAGTTAGTGACGTGACAGGAGTCGGCATATGACGTAAATACATCTCATATCATCACTGGGAGGTTAACATCTACAAAGAACATGAACCATTACAGTAAGATCACCTTGTAGGGAGTGAGTGAATGTCTGTCAGTGAGTCGGAAACAAGTGAAAAATTACAATGTAGAAACGATCAATTTTATCTCATTCATTCTCTCTCTCTCTCTCTCTCTCTCTCTCTCTCTCTCTCTCAGGTGTGCGACAGGTGTAGTGAAAGCACTGCAACACATTATTACAATAAAAAAAACAACATCGTCATTCTTTGTCCACTAGAGAAACTCCCAACTGTTATGACGTGTACATGACTTATTATGACGTATACATGACTTATTATGACGTATACATGACTTATTATGACGTGTACATGACTTATTATGACGTGTACATGACTTGCTAACCTAACTTAACCAAACCTAACAGATTCACACACGACACATCGCCTCTTCTTCACTTTCACACTATTCTTACGACACGAAAATAATCCACAGTAAAGGTGTCATGTGTCATATCTGTGTCATGGTGTCATAACCTCAATGTGTCACGGTAAAAAAAAAAAAAATCTTCCTGGATGTGATCGATAAATTACGCAATGATCAATATGTCTCCTTGTCTCGGTAGGGTTATCAGAATCATTCGTTTATTGTGTCATATTGTTTCATATAATAATTGGTACGGTAGTTTTTTAATGTGAAGTGGCTATGAAATATGTCCCTTCTATACGTGTTTACATTGGCTGATAGGGGAGGAGGAAGGTGTAGATAGAGGGAAGTTACTATATAAATGTGATGGTAGGTTGTGAGTGATGCTGAACTGAATTTTAAGGTGGCTAGTTTATTGTGCACCTCGTACTCATCCTGTGAATTTGTGACGTAAAGTGGATTAGATATTAGAGGTCAGGAAAGGTCACTGTCAGATATAAGAGGTCATATTGTTGGGTATTACGGAATGTGGTTGAGTGTGGGGGGGGGGTGGTGATAGTAGTGGTGGGGGTCACATGCAATATTATCCAGGTCATCGTCATGCAAACTCGCCAGCAGCCAAACTAAACACACACACACACACTCTTGCCTCATCCTAATACCCACATTACCCTCCCCCCTCCCTCCCTTTGCCCTTTAACCTTTGCTATACTATACCCACTACCGTCTCTACCCTACCCTGTCTCACCCTAGAGGTTGTCCCTACCTGCGGATAACTGATGGCCGGTGCGTCCTGTCAACCACTTTACTCTATCTGTCCTATTTTTCATTCGAGTAATTTACAGTTTTCATTCTCTCTTTCTCTTCCTCTCTTTACTTCGTTCTCGTTGTTTATCTCTGTCTGTTTCTATTTGTGCCTGTCTATCGTGCTCTCTCTCTCTCTCTGATTTTCCTCCTCGTAACAAGAATCTTCAGGAAAAATAATAAAATTTAATATCTCATCCCGTTAACCCCGACAGGACCTATCCACATCCCGTAAGCCGACAGGACATAACCCAACCCGTTAGCCCCGAGAGAAACAGCCTGCCCCCGTTAGCCCCGAGAAAAACAGCCTGCCCCCGTTAGCCCCGAGAGACCACTGCCCTCCCCGTTACCAAACACTAAACCCGTCACAGTTAATGCCATTATTTTTTTTTAAACTTTCACCTTTTTACCAGGAAAGCGAGACTGACCAATCAACGAATCGCCTTGAGACACGCCCTCTGCTTGCTGACCAATGAGGGTAGTGCTTGTGGTGACGTCACGTGATTGCCTAAGGTCAGAGGAATGATTCACTAGACATCAACAACTTGCTTGGTGACCCTGGGAACTGGACCTGGTGATTGGTGGTGAGTAAAATTTAAGATGCAAACAGTTAGGATTCACTTTGCTCACGAGGAGATTGGCAGTTCGGGCACCAAATGACAGTATCTACCACAATTACCACCCACCTACCACAATTACCACCTACCACTACCCATCTACCACAATTACCACCTACCACTACCCACCTACCACAATTACCACCTACCACTACCCACCTACCACAATTACCACCCACCATTACCCACCTACCACAATTACCACCCACCACTACCCACCTACCACAATTACCACCCACCACTACCCACCTACCACAATTACCACCCACCACTACCCACCTACCACAATTACCACCTACCTGTCACCACCTCCTTATGTCGGTGCTGTGGTTCATGTTAACTGCAGGAAGGGAGAGAGAGGAGAGGAGATGAGAGGGAATAAAAGGGAGGATGTGTATAATTGGAGAGAAAGAGAGAATAGGAGTGATAGAGAAGAAACTGGGTGAAGGAGGAGAAGAAGAGGAGGAAGTAGACAACTGGAGGTGAAAGAATGAGGAAATAGAGGGAGAGAAGAATGAAGGAAGGAGGAGGCCTTGGATAATGTGAAGTTGACGAATGGAAGAGAAGACAAAGAGAAACTTAAAATAAGAAACATAGCGAGATGAGAGAGAGAGAGAGAGAGAGAGCTGGAAGATTTGACGACCTTACCACAAGATGACGAAGTAAATCACGAAAGGGCGTGGGCGTGTTTATGGACCGTCAGGAGGGTGTGGCGGTAAGGTTTCTTCGTCTGTAGGGTGGAGGAGGGCTTGATGTATGTATGTATGTATGTATGTGTGTGTATGTATGTGTGTGTGAGTGAGAGAGAGGGGCGCCCCGTTACCGCTGTCATCAAGGTCGCTATTATTACTGAAGAGAAGGCAACGTGAACAAAGGAGTCAGCTAATGTTTGTGTGTGAGACAGCGGAGGTGGATTAACTACAGGTGTGGATTACTGTGGATGGATTATTACACCTGTGGATTAGTGTAGGTGTGGATTGCTGCAGGTATGGATTATTACAGGTGTGGATTACTGTGGATGGATTACTACACCTGTGGATTAGTGTAGGTGTGGATTGCTGCAGGTATGGATTATTACAGGTGTGGATTACTGTGGATGGATTACTACACCTGTGGATTAGTATAGGTGTTGATTGTTACAGGTTTGGATTACTACAGGTGTGGATTGGATGGATTACTACACCTGTGGATTAGTGTAGGTGTGGATTGCTGCAGGTATGGATTATTACAGGTGTGGATTACTGTGGATGGATTACTACACCTGTGGATTAGTGTAGGTGTGGATTGCTGCAGGTATGGATTATTACAGGTGTGGATTACTACACCTGTGGATTAGTATAGGTGTTGATTGTTACAGGTTTGGATTACTACAGGTTACAGACTTGGATTACAAAAAGGTACAACAAACAATAACAATGATTTAACAGGTGTGAAGGACAGGTGTGTTACCAAGTCCGAGGAACTGTTCCCTCCAGCTATCGTGAGTATAGAGACAACAAGGGGAGGTGTAAAGTACGACTCACATTTGGTAACACTGACTCCCACGATCACCAGTAAGGCATGACTCACATCTGGTAACACTGACTCCCACGATCACCAGTAAGGCATGACTCACATCTGGTAACACTGACTCCCACGATCACCAGTAAGGTATGACTCACATCTGGTAACACTGACTCCCACGTATCACCAGTCCACGATCACCAGTAAAGGCATGACTCACATCTGGTAACACTGACTCCCCACGATCACTAGTAAGGTATGGCTCACTTGATCCCCACGATGCAAGGCATAACATCTGAACACTGACTCCACGATCAGTAAGGCGCGGCTCCCACATCTGACTGACTCACGATCACCAGTGGTAACACTGACTCCCCACGATCACCAGTAAGGCATGACTCATCTGGTAACTGACTCGATCACCAGTAGGTATGACTCCCATTTGGTAACACTGACTCCCACGATCACCAGTAAGGCATGACTCACATCTGGTAACACTGACTCCCACGATCACCAGTAAGGCATGACTCACATCTGGTAACACTGACTCCCACGATCACCAGTAAGGTATGACTCACATCTGGTAACACTGACTCCCACGATCACCAGTAAGGCATGACTCACATCTGGTAACACTGACTCCCACGATCACCAGTAAGGCATGACTCACATCTGGTAACACTGTTTGAAGGTTAATTGCTTCAAGGGGTAGACTTTCACACCTTATCTTCTGTCCGGTGTCTGGCCCTCTGCTAACGTTCTTTCTACTAACGTTCTCAATCTAACGTTCGCTCCACTAACGTTCCTTCCCCACTACCGTTCTCCCCTCGGCCTATCAACACTGCCTAGCCTTTTCTTTACATCTTAACCTTTAATACTCAACCTTCCCGTCTGACTCCCTCCGTTATCATCATTCTCTCGCTTCTTCTCCTTCATCCCTGACCTTCTCTTCTCTCTCTCTCTCTCTCCTCCCTCTATTATTCTCACATGTCTCGCCCACGTTTTTGTATCTGTGTTTCTTCTTTTGTGTTGACAGTTATTGGTGATTTCCTGTTGATTATTTTTTTTGGGGGAGGGGGTGAATGTTGCTTGGTTCTGTTTCTTATTGTTTGGTTTACTTGTGTTTGTGTGATTTGCTTTTTTCTTTTGTCTGTCTTCTCTCTGTTTCTCACTCTCTCTGTCTCTCTCCGTTAGTTCGTATTGCATCTTCTTTGTCCATTTTCTCTCCCTCCTTCTCTCCCTCCCTCTCCTCCTTCTTCTTCCTCCTCCCTTCTCTCCTCCTCCTCTCCTCTCCTCCTCCCTCCCCTCTCTCTCTCCCTCCTCCCTAGAAACTGAAAGTGCCGGAGAGTCTTGAGTCGCCTGGCTGACCCTGAGGACTTGTTATTCAGGATTACAATATTCCTCACGCCTTGGTCCTAGGGAGGGGTGAGGGAGGCAGGGTAGGGGGGAGGAAGGGGCAAGGGAGGGGGAGGAATGAGGAGTCGAAGTGGTAGGGGAAACGGGACTTAGGGAGAGAGGGAAGGAGAGGGAAGGGGTGGTGGAGGGGGGAAGAGAGAGAGAGAGAGAGAGAGAGAGAGAGAGAGAGAGCATAAAAACCCAAATCTAGACACAAGTGAAACAAAGAGTCAATCACAGCAACAAGAACAGGGCCCACTCACACCACTTCACCACCACCACCCACCTAAACCTACCACCACCACCACCCACCCCACCACCACCACCACCACCACCCACCCACCACCACCACCACCACCACCACCACCACCACTCACCACCACCACCACCACCACCACTCCACCACCACCCACCTCCACCACCTCCCCCCACCTACACCTCCACCACCTACCACACCACCCCCCACCTACCCACACTCCACCACCACCACCCACCACACCACCCCACCACACCCACCTACCACCTCCACCACCTCCACCACCACCCACCACCCACCTACCACCACCTACCACCCACCTACCACCACCTACCTCCACCCACCACCTCCACCCACCTACTACCTCCACCCACCTACCACCACCACCTGACGAAGGCGCTGAAGACGACCCTTTCCATCAACACCCACGACCCAGTTTCTCTATAGTTTGTAGGTTAATTATTTATCGTGACTTAAATTATAAAGCTGCATTACCTGTCTGGATCACGTGAAGATTAGACACCCCAACATACTTTACCTGATGATTAAATACCCTAATGAGACATGTTACCATGCACACCTGTTACAACAATTACACACCTGTTGCCACACTTGCACACCTGTTACAACAATTACACACCTGTTGCTACAATCACACACCTGTTACCACAATTACACACGTTATCATAATTACACACCTGTTACACACACACACACACCTGTCACCATTAACCTGTCGTTGGCAGCTATGGTTCATCTTGGATAACTCTATTGCCCTGACTCAATGTTGCAATGTAATTTTGCAACATCTGCACGCCACCTGCAACACACACACTAACTAGATAATTCTCACGCAGGAGGTTGGCTGGTTCAGTATTATCGTGACCAGTTGTGTGTGCGTCTTTGTGTGTGTGCGTCTTTGTGTGTATGCGTCTTTGTATGTATTTGCTTGTATGTTTGAGTTCTTTCCTTGTTTGTTTGTATGTATGATTTATTTGTGTGTTTGTGTGTGTGTGCTCTTTATTTAGGTTAGGTTAAAGTCAGGTTAGGTTAAAGTCAGGTTAGGTTAAGGTTAGGTTAGGTTAAGGTTAGGTTAGGTTAAGGTTAGGTTAGGTTAGGTTAGGTTAGGTTAGGTTAGATTTGATATCCTCAACTCCATGAACAATCCTGATATCTTAACGTTATCCTCTGCCGTAAAAAGATAAATAACATTACTATAAAACTCCCATTCAAATCCTAACAAAATCGAATCAAATAATTAAAAAAATAAATATACAATTAGTGAACAATTCAATTTAAATTAATAAAAAATACTCTGAATACCGAAAATAAAAAGTAGATAGACAGTAGGTAGATATTTAGGTCGGCTATATGAGCGTGACGACGGTGAAACTTGACGAGACCTTTATCGTTATTGAAGGGCAGGTAATGTAAGGCTCTTACCTGGTCTGGTAACACTGGCGAGACTGACCAGGTGTGTGTGTGTGGGAGTGACCAGGTGTGTGTGTGTGTGTGTGTGTGTGTGTGTGACCAGTTATGTGTGTGTGTGTGTGTGACCAGGTATGTGTGTGTGTGTGTGAGTGACCAGGTACTTGTGTGTGTGTGTGTGTGAGTGACTCAGTTATGTGTGTGTGTGTGTGAGTGACCAGTATGTGTGTGTGTGTGTGAGTGACCAGGTATGTATGTGTGTGTGTGTGTAGTGACCAGGTGTGTATGTGTGTGTGACCAGGTGTGTGTGTGTGTGTGGTGACCAGGTGTGTGTGTGTGTGTGTGTGTGTGAGTGACCAGGTGTGTATGTGTGTGTGAGTGAGTGACCAGATGTGTGTGTGTGTGAGCGACCAGGTATGTGTGTGCATGTGTGAGTGAGTGACCAGGTGTGTGTGTGTGACCAGGTGTGTGTGAGAGAGGCCAGGTGTGTGTAAGTGACCACCAGGTGGAGGTGTGTGTGGCACAGTGACGAAAGTATCAAAAGATAAACATTAATACGAGTATGATAAAGTACACAAAAAAACCCTCCGTCGCGAGTGAATATCATCAGTCAGGTATGTTAAGGCGGTAAGACGAACCGAAAACTCGCAACACAGGAACCCAACTTGAGTTATGTTAAATGTAAGCACAATATAAGAGAAGAGAGAAAGTTTACAAGGCGTTAACAAGTGAAAGGAAAACTTAACTTTTTCTACCGTGGGCTGTTTGTCTAACGTAATACTGTCTATGTTTACGTAAATAATTATAGGTTTATAGGATGTGGAACAATGCCTTAGTTTTGAAGAAGAGATAATGTTATATATTGCTATGTAGAAACATTTATTCAATAAGACAATGACTATACCACGACAATGCCTTCAAAATATTCCCTACAGTAATATGCCGGTAATTCCTAACTGGTGAGGGACTCTATAGTCTCAGTGTGATGTTAGTGTTATCTTTGGTTCGTTTTTGTAGTTTAGATTAAATTAAGCTGTTAGGGGCGTCCTTATATCTTCAGTCACGAGGAATTGGTAACGCACAAACCAAGGAATATCTAATAAGGAAATTATACTCGAAACGTTAGCGAGGTGGAGTTGGCGACATTTGGTATTTATTTTAGTTGGTCTTCACAATGATTATGGCGATTCTCGACATTGTGACGTAGGTGTGTCGTCTGCATTGTTTACTTTTAGTATATTTGTACCCGCGACATAATGCATAATAGTTCCACGTGAGAGAACAAACCGCTGAACAGTAATCTAACACTGTAGACGATGTGCCAAGGTTGACGGGTCACCGATCAAGACGTCTTTATAGTCAAGTCAGAGAGGATTATCGAACTGAATACATAAACACAAGATTTCTTTCGTTACCCTCAAACCACAGTTCACTCCCTCCCTGAGAAAACATCATCTCACTAAATGAAAGGCAGGGTAGTGTTCAGGGTGGTTAATCTTCAGGTGAAATAAGCTGGGGTGTATAATCTTCGGGTAATCCCTTATAAAGCAGCGGTGAAGTCTAAAAACTGTTGTGGACAGTCGAGTGGCTGACAGAAAGCGAGAGTGAAACAGAGTGAAAGTAAGAGAGAGAGAGAGAGAACTCATAGATACATAAGTGACTGTCATGTCAGAGTGCGGTTAGGCGGTTAATGTTGATGATTATTGTGTGTTTATATGACCGTGAGGCAGTACAGTACTACCAACGACACTCCTTCAGCCACCACACAGTATTACCAACAAATTCATTATGTTAACAGATTGCTGTCAACTTTACAATCTCAAACCTATTATTTTTATAAAGTTTTGTAATACATATAAAGCATTACTTACTTTTTTTATGTAGTTAACAGAAAGAAGTAACGGTGGTGAACAAGTCCAGCTGATGACGGCTTGAGATCACAACACAGCAAAGCTCTTTAACTAGGCAGCATTATCAAAACAGTTATAGGGACATTTCTTCACAACACCCCCATTGCAAATATAGTTAACAAGTGCATAAACCTCAATAACAGTCGTCTGGTATTCGACGCAAACAATATCTGCAACGAGTGGAGTACTAGGGAGTGTGTGTGTGTGTGTCAGCGAATCACAGTATTGAGGTTAAACCGATCCTTTGGTTGACTGGCGAAGGAATGGTGTGCACTGTAGAGCGGCTGCGAGGCGACTGTTGACTCGTGAACGTGTGGAACTGTAGTCACCACGGTGGGAAGGAGAGGGTGATTGGATGCTGGTATGAGAGGGGAGGGGTCATATTGTAGGAGAGGGGGGGTGATAGTGTATGAGAGGGGAGGGGAGTCATATTGTTGAAGAGGGAGGAAGGTGAGACAGTTTAGTGAATTATAACGGGACGGTGTATTAAAGGTTACAGCGGGAGTTGGTAGTGTTAAATGTAAAGGTGAACAGGTGAACTCTGGCTGGTGGGGGTGAAGGGAAGGGAAGGGAGGGGTGGTGAAGAGAAGGGAAGGGAGGGGTGGTGGTAGTGAAGGTTGCGCTGGGTGCGGTACTGGTGATGGAGGAGGAAAGGACATGGTTGCTAGTTTACGTAGAGGTAGGATGGGTGCGTGAAGGAGATGGGCGAGGGGCGTGAAGGAGATGGGAGAGGGGCGTGAAGGAGATGGGGGAGGGGCGTGAAGGAGAAGGGAGAGGGGCGTGAAGGAGATGAAGGTGGGAGGGCGTGAAGGAGATGGGAAAGGGGCGTGAAGGTGGAAGAGGGGCGTGAAGGTGGAAGAGGGGCGTGAAGGAGATGGGAGAGGGGCGTGAAGGTGGAAGAGGGGCGTGAAGAAGACATATAATTACATAACTGAGGTCTGATTTTGTAAATGATGCTCTGATAAGTTGTTTATTGTCTCAAGATCAATAACTAAAATGAAACAATATTAACAAAACGTGATATATTTTCTTCATTAAGAGATTTAATTAACTGAGTATACAGGATGGTGTCAGAATCCTTTGTTCATGGTATCCTCCTTGTTCCAGTGCTAGTAGGCGGACACAAGTTCCCGAGGAAAAACTGCCGTGTTCTCATAACTGAACCTAGCGGAAATCACACCCCGGTCGCGTTGACAACAGACAAGAGACATTTCAAGTTTTTCAGATTTTTTTTTTGTTGACTCGTGTCTCACAGAAATGGATAATTATTTAGTAAACTCAATTTTATTTTTTCTAATTTACTACAGCAATATATATATAATGTGTAAAATAACTATGATATAAGCGTTTAAATTGACATATCAACAACATCTTTACAAGTAGCCCGACCGACATATGAATAGGCTTCCGTGATATCCTCTCAAATTATAATCCTAATTTAACCTTGTCTAATTTAATTTTATAAATACATTTCCTTCTCTTTAGGATAAATTTAAATCAAGTATGTTTTATTGGGACATTAGGCTAGGCAGTATGATAGTGGGTTGGTTTTTTTTTTTTTAATTTTGTGAGATAGGAAAAAATAAATGTTCGAAGTTCGACTAAAATTCTGCCGCGCTAAAGAGTTGCCAAAGACTAGCCAGTTTAATATAGGTCAGATCGCTATGATAAGAAAGGCTAACTTATTTCCACAAATTTGTGATAAATAGGTTAATTTGCGTTTCGTTAGGCTGCCTTTATGACAGATAAGGAACTAGATGACTTTATTCTGGACTGAAACAAACGCAGTCTTTTTGTAGCGAGATATAGGTAAAATTCGATTACATTTGGTTAGGTTAGAATGGACTCGGGTTAATTAAGATTAAGTTCGGTTAGATTAGATGAGGGTTAGGTAAGGTTGAATTCGGTTACGTGAGGTTAGGTTAGGGTTAGTTAAGCTTAAATATAGTTAGGTTAGGTTGGTGTTAGTGTAGATAAAATATGGTTAGGTTAGGGTTTGGTGACATTAACAATAATAATATGACTGGTTACTAAGGTGAATAATACTAACGAGAAGGCAGACAGACAAAGTAAGGATGACAACTAGAATGCAATTGCTGAACAGTTAAGTTGAAGTAAACTGTTCCTTATGTAAGACAATACCGCGACATTATATTAATTTTACCTTAACAAGAAAAAAAAAATTAAAAGTCAATTGTTCACTGAGAGGAAATCAGGTAGGTTAGTTAACTTAACACTGAAATAATTTATGACTCATAGTACTGTACTCGGAAAACTAAATTGCAAAGGGCGATGACTCATACTTAATATAAATGTCAAATATTATAACACTTGTACAAAAGACAGTGAATTTTAACCTTCCATATAATGTTAATTAATAAAAACCCTAAATGCAGTTACCTAGACAGCAATAAAGGAAAAAATATCTAAATCCCTTCATTATAATCAAAGTTTTAGATTATAAACAAATTTAAATCCTTTCGTTTCAAAACAAAATGAATCATATCCCCAGCAGAGAACAACCGACCACAGCAATAAACAGATGCAGGGAGGTGTGGTAGGCTGGGCACACCTCGACACCAACTGTGATTTAACAGCTTTCACTTGGTGTCCTCCTACTTCACCACGCTGAGCCTGGTGCCCTCTTACCTGACCCTGGTGCCCTCTTACCTGACCCTGGTGCCCTATTACCTGACCCTGGTGCCCTCTTACATCACCTAGCTGAACCTGGTACCTTCCTAGGTGAACCTGGTGCAGTCCTAGATCAAATGCCCTTTTTAACTAAACCTAATGCCCCCCTAGCTGAATTTGATGCCCCTCTACATCACCTACATAAACCTAGTAATGCCTATAGCTAACACATCCATCTCTTACGTCAGATATTTACTAATTTGCTAAGGATAACTCTCCGGGTAGGAATGAGAATATTATTTATAACCCCTTTTTACAGTAAGAATATAACTTCGTGCCTTTCTTTACCAATAAACAGATTATCTATGAATTTAAGAAGATACAGAATTATTATGAATACTATCTTAGCCCCACAACAGCCATATTTATTGATAGTTCAGCTAGACATAAAGTAGACGCTATTTACGATAATATTTTGTTTTTCTAAGGTCAAATATCAAATACTACAGGGTATATAATTTGGTTTATAATTAGTTATATTTTCAGCAGGTTATAATGAGATCTGACTTGAAAACAAATAATATTTCCACTCAAAAAGGTTAAAAAGATTTCTAAGCTGTTGGACCATGAGTGAGTTAATCAATTTTGAAAAGATGAATCATATTTAGAGTATATTATATTTTTTTATTAATAACATAATATAAACATTTATTTAATATTAATGAAACATATTATGAGTGGATAACTGGAGTTTGTTGAAGATTTAAAGGTCTCTCGCAATTGTCAACATTTTTAGTGTCTTCGCGCAGCTGGTGAGACGAAGGCGGCGTCCATGCTTTAAAGTTGATCTATTTTAGTGTTTGTGAGTGACAATTCAGTGACTTATATGCGAGAATTTACTGTTATAATACGAAGTAACTGATACGAGGAAGAGAAACGATTCCTGAAGTGTTTGAAAGTTTTTATTAAAGAAAGAAAAAAACAGCCAACATGGCCAGTCACTCGAGAACTGAAAATGTAGTGACTTCATTTTATGCTTAAAGTGACTAAGGCGAGGTGAAGATTTAGTTCAGGTAAGCTTTAAATATTATATAGTCTTGTTTTGATGTAAATAATTTGTATAATTTGTATAATTATTCATTTCAGCTGTTTTTCATTGACAATCTGTTTGAAAATACCCGGTTTTCACAAAATAATGAATTGAACTGAAAGTAATCAGCGTACAAAACTGTCCTTAAACACCGACATAATTACCGAACTGCTGGCGGCCGCGAGTCGTATATTAACTGTTTTGTGAAAGTAAGTGCAGATATACCTGTCAAAATAAGTCTTTATCAACTGGTAGTAGATATTGATGTAGTTAAATAAACCATTCCAGTATTCTACTTTACAGTACAGTACTCTGGGGTTTATTACACATCGGAAACTGTACATGAACTTTAGGAAATGATTTTGTATCCATATTATAAGAAAGGTTTAAGTAAAAAATAAGCTGCTTCCCTTTATTTAACACTGTAGCTTGAGTGTCTTAAGGTGTGGAAATAAGTAGTACGGTATGTAGTAGTTTGATTCAACTCACAGATACTCACAGATGATCTTCTGGAAGAGGCTCACGCCTGTGACTCCAGCTCAATAGCCTCTTCTCTACTCAGACGGTGGCTGTGTGTGGCGGATATTTGTGCCCTAAAATTATATACTTGTTGATTTTTCCAGTATTTATCTAATTTTGCTTCAAACTTTTCCACCGTCTCCACATTCACTACCCACTCAGGTAACCCATTCCAGTTGTTGACAACCCTACTCGGGAACGAATGTCTTCTGAGATTTAGCCTCGCTCTTGTTTTGTAGATCTTTGAGTTCCCCCGGGTAGTGTCAGCCTCCCTCATCTGGAACATTCCTGCTGTACATGCCTGGTCATATGCCACACACTATCTTGTATGTTTCCACTTGGTCCCCACGAGACCTTCTGTACGCCAGTGTCGGTAACTGTAATTTCCTTAGTCTTTCATCATAAGATAAATCCTAGATCTGTGGTACTAGTTTGGTAGCCCTCCTCTGTACATTCTCTACTGCTTCAATATCCTTAATGAGATATGGGCACCAAATTTGATTAGCATACTCAAGGTGTGGCCTAACCAGAGCAGTGTACAGAGCCCTGAATATAGGTGCATCCAGACGAACAAAAGTTCTTCTAATAATTCCCACTATTTTATTAGCCTTGTTGATTTTCTCAGCTAGATGGTCAGAGAACGTCAGCTTATCGATGACTACCCCCTATATCCTCTACAGTGGTCATCTTGATCGTGGTGTACATATGATATCCATGGTCAGCAACTTCTGTTCTTCCTATCCTCATGTATTTACTTTTTTCTGGGTGAAAGTTCAGCATCCACTTCTCAGTCCAACCCCTGATCCCATCCAGGTCCTCCTGCTGCATGTCACAATCCTCATCTCGTTCTATTTTCCTAAAAATCTTTGTGTCATCCGCATATAGATATACCTCACTGTCGTGTTTAATTGCCTCAGGCAGGTCATTGATAAAAAGGACAAACAGCAGGGGGCCGAGGACAATGATCCAATACTATATACAGTACTTAAAAGAAAAATCAGCTTTAGTTGTAATTCTTAAATAAATATGTGGCGGATATTGACTGTTGGGGTAACCTAACCTAACCTAACCTGTAAACATTTAATAA